GAAACTACAAGCCTAGGTGACTCCTGCCTTACAGATTGGAATCTGTGGCAAGTGACTTCTACCACATTCCTTTGTTTCCTAGAATTTAGACACATAAATTATCTGAAGTGGCCACCAGGCAAACCACCTTCACATGGCAACTCTAGTCTGCTATGGGGCCCTACTGGAAACAGAGGCCCTGATCCCTAAAGCACTGGATGAAACATTAAGACCTAAGCTGCCCATCCTTTCCTGGGTCCTCACTAATCATGTTGGTCACACAGGACAGGCTTAACAAAGCTCCATCATTAAATAGATGTGGCACAGTCAATACAGGGCCCGCTGGGATGCCAGGGGTCAATGACTCTATAAAAAATGAGGGCTTTACTGGAGGAGGCTAAACAGCCTGTGAGGCATGTTCCTGCCCTTGCTATAACCAAGAAGGGTTCAGGGATCAGAGATTCTAGTTGATGGTTCAGCTTGGTTCCCACTTAGGCCCTTGAAACTCAAAGCTGGTAAGAGTCTACTGGATGCTGTAGCCATCCACCCCTAGGATAACCACTTTTCAACTGAGACCAGATGAGAACATTCTGCCCAATGGGCCAAACTGTACATGGAAGCCTGGCTGAATAGGTCACTCAAACAGCAGCTCTCTGCTACGCATCTACAGACTCATGAGTTGTTATAATTGGGCTAGCTATATGGTCTAGTAACTGACACATTAATAACTGAACCATTAAAGGCTCCCCTGTGTGGGAAAAGGGCCTGTGACAATAGCTTGTGAATTGAAAAACAACAAATAAACACACCAATAATAACAACCCTACTCATTGCTCATATTAATGCCTATAACAAAGAGTCATTAAAAGGAAAGGAAGAAACTGAAGACTGAACCTAACTTCCGCTCAGTAAATTGCTGCAATTGCTTCTTGGGTTCACCTCAGAACAGAGCATAAAAGCCCACTGAAGAAAATGGACCAAATCACACAGACTCACACCCCAAAAAAGTAAAGCTCCAGATACAATGCAGTTGTGTGACTCCTAAATGCAAGCCCAGGCCATACAACATCGCAAATTGGACTATAAAGTGGGGCTCAGCCACCTGCCCCATGTGACAAATGAATCACAGTGTACTACTAGCCCCCAGTCAGAGACTGCAGAGGTGTCTCACTGCAGTGGACATATATTACAGAAATTAGACCTCCATTCCAGTTTGCCATGCAGGCACTGAGGTACCACCGTGGCTTTAAAAACCACCATTGTCAGACGTTCAGATATGGAGAAAGATTCCAGTCTGAGTAAGACATCACACTCATAACCCAAGCAATTCCACAATGGACAGATTCCAGTCACATAAGATGAACCTGTCACCCTTAGACGAATAGGGTGATAAAGCGACGAAACATGAGGCTTGAAAAACAAGTATAGAAGAGCCATAAAAACCTCAACTCACTGATGGCATTTCCCACCTAACCAAAGCCATCCGGGCATTAAACACTACACTCCAGGGAAAGAAAAACACAAGATTGCAACACATGTTGGACGTTCCTAAACCTGGGGTTGGGAGGTGGAGGAGAGGGTGGGTGCCCCATTAGGCTGCCCCAAGTAACCCTGATTTCAGTACACCCAACCTTTCTTTCTTTACTCCCATCAGAACCCATGTACTCCTTGGGGTGTCTGTTGTGGTCTGAGCTGTGGCTACACCACCACTGAGTCCCCCCAGTGCAAATCTAGAGGAGGCAGCACAGTCTTCCAGGCCTCCTCCTTCCTGTGAGACCCCAGGGAATGGGGGAAAGGCCAACAGAACATTGGGCTCTCTTGGTCACACTTAGTCATGCTGAGGACCCCCAACTCCTCAGTGCAAGTGGGTGATATTATGGGATATGTCAAGTTCATGTAAGGTGACTTACCTCCCTGGGTTGTATGATGGAGTGGAAAGGTTTGGATCAAGTACCACGGACAGTGGATATCTAAAGGAAGTGGCAGACAAGAGCATCTCCAGCACTGGGAGACTCATGAGGGAGGGCCTGTTCACAAACCTTGTTGTCTTCTCGTTCCTACAGAAGCCTCTGCTGTGCCTGGCATGGCAGCAGCTGATAAGGTGAGGGAAGCAGACTCAAACAACACTGGATTTGTCATCCCAAAAATAAGTCCACTGTGTCCCACACTTCCACTGTAACGGCTTGGCTATCCCCAAGGACTTGCAGTTTCTAAACTCAGCCAAGGGGGTAATGGACAAAAGAATAGCCCTCAATTATCTGCTGGCAGAACCGGGTGGCATTTAGTTGCTATGCATGTACCAACAGTTTAGGGAAGGAAGACATAGAGCTAAGACACACGCTTAGGTGGGATGGTTACCAGCTATAGCTAGCAGTCTTCAGAAGACTTCTTTTTTTTTAACCCCTTTGGTTGGCTTAATCCAGGCATGTGGGGCTCCTGGCTGAAGACCATCCTCTAGGGAGGTCTCATTATTTTTCTGGTCTGGTTCACATGGTGACCCTGGTAAAAATGCTATTTCAGAAAGTGAGGCCCTTCTAGCAAACTGCACTCATGCAGGTTGTTCAGGACCTGTTAGACTGGGCTCTGCCTCTACATTTGGAGCGAATGTTTTCTGCTGGTTTTGATCCTGCATTTGCATTGGCTAGTTCAGTGGTGGTAGCAGTAGGTTCCCTGCCCCTGTGGGCCTGGTTCACTTCCTTTTCAAGAGTCCTGCAGCCTACACCGCCGTTTCTGTTTCAGGCTCAGTGGTACTCCTTGTTCTGCTCAGGCTCATGCGTCAGTGGCTCTCAGCAGGCCCCCAGCTTGTCTTTCGGGCCCCATGTAGGAGGGACAAGGGAGACTGTCTCCCACTGTTGCCTGAGTGGGCCCCTTGCAATCACATTGCCCATGTTGCCCATGGGGACAGAGGCGTTGCTTGGGGCTGGATCTAGTGGTTCTAAGTGCTATGCCACTTAAGCCTGGTGTGTGTGTTTTCTGCTCTGGGCGACCTGGAATCATGCGCTGGTCTCTCCCTGGGAGGCACTTCTCGGCTGCAGTCTCACCGCTCTGTAAAGGTGGACCAATTTTCATGCTTTGCACCTTTTCCTGAGCAGCCAGTGCCTCTAAGTTCTGAGCTTTGGGAATTTTGAAGGGCAGTGGCTTGTTTTGCCTCAGTATTGTCTTTGGGAGACACTCACCATTACAGTTCTTGTCATCCTCCAATCTACTCCCCCCCTTTTTTTTTAATACAGATTTTGGTTCAAAGTTACAGGAGTTTGGTCTTTTATCAGGATTTGAACATTACTATTTTGTCCTTAGCTCCTGGCCATAGTAGGCGCACACATGTCTGTTCTGAGTTGAGGAATTTTCGAATCTGCTGTTATTTGGGGTGAGTGGTTAATTGAGAATTTCCATAACATGGCAAGGGGCCTAAAGGTGTAGCACAGCCATCAGGAGGCAAGTAGAATTTAGATGCACGGATGGCAGTCACTTCTTATCTGCTACCCAGACATGATTTATTATTCCGAGTGCCATACATTTCTGCCATTGGAGTTTTTATTCTTCTTCACATCCACTCTCCTCCAAGCACTTATTTCCAGAAACAAATTATATCCTCCCCACTTTATTGTCAGTTGGCTGCTGTTCTTTGTGGCCCACTGAACTGTGAGTGACTTTACATCATCTTGCAGGGGTGAGCAAAATTCAAGACATTTGGAGAATGGCATTTGTCATGAACTGGAAGAAGCCTATCAATGTTCAAAACAAAGTTATACACTGGGCGTGGTGGTACACACAATTCCAGCTCCCTGGGTGGCTGAGGCAGGAGGACTGACTGAGCCCAGGGGCTGGAGGCTACACAGTGAGATCCCATCCCCAGAACAGATACAATCCGAAGCTATAACTCATCAGTGAACTCAGGCACTCCGGATGCAATCCCAGTCTTTTGAATTAGTCTCTCACCCAGTACTTGTTGGTTTATCACACACTGGTTTTCAAGTTATTTTTTGGGCTGGGATGTAGCTTGGTGGTACAGCGCTTGCCTAGCATGCGTGAGGCCCTTGGTTCGATCCCAGCACCAAAAAAGACAAAAAAAAAAACCTTCTCCTCAAGTTACTTTTTGGTGATTGTTTCATTAGTTTGAGATACGTAAGGCGAAGAACCATGCCTGCTTCCTTTGCTGTCTTCTGGCACTCAGCACAGTGCTGACACGAAGGTGGTGCTTAACGGCTATCTGTAGAATTAGTGCTGACTTATCAAAGCCCAGGCTGTTCAGATTTATGTGGCTTTTATTTATTTTCCTGGGGATTGAATTTAGGTCCCTGCCATCCTAAGGCAGGGGCTTTGCCAATTGAGCCACACCTCTAGCCCTTTTGTTTGTATTTTGTTTTTGAGACGTCTCCTTAGCTTTGCTGGAGCTGGCCTCCAATTTGAGGTCCTTCTGTCTCAACCTCCTGAGTAGCTGGGATTACAGGTATGCACTATCATGCCTGGCTAAATTTATCTGTTGATGGTACTTGAATGTAGGGCAAATACCTCTTATACACACCTTTCCTTATTCTATTGCCCAAGAGAAAGTGTCCTGCAGCCAAACAAGAAATCGGAAATAATGGAATTTTATGAGAATGTCTATTCTGAACTTGGTTCACGAGTGGAAAATGATCACCTGACACAAAATTAATTTATAAATCAGTTTATTTACAGATTTTTATTTTCCTTAAAGTACTTTAGTTAACAAATCTATTTACACAGGTGTACATGGGAATTCATCCCAGTTATTTTACAGATCATACTTACAAAGCACAGCCTTAGTCTTCTGTGTAGAGCTGCACTGGATGTGACACTGGCTGAAGTGGCCTGTAGACAGGCCATTTACACATACACAGTAAACGGGTTTATTTTTCATGTCTGCACAGTACAGTACACACGAGGAGGCTACACCTCCCAGGTAATGCTTTGCAATGTGTTTACCAAGAAGGCTTTGCAAAGTCCAGAAGGAAAAGCTTTTAAACAGGGTAAAATGACAGTACCTCCTTTACATCAGTTTACATTTTCCTTCACATTTTTACAACAGAGATATTTTATTGAATTGCTGCACAACCAGTTTAAGATGATTTGTAAACATGTAAACTCCTACAATTTGCATTAAACACCATTGTAGTTTCTATCACTTGTTCTGTGAATTAATGTTTTATTCACTAGTATTCTGAAGGTAGTAAGAGGAAGATGTAAGTCTGAATTTCTTGCAGAAAAGCTATCAGTCTCTAATGCTGTGCTACAGAAATTCTTTTGCGAGTACACACTTTATTCAAGTATTGCAAAAAGCTAAGGCCACTTTTTTTTCAAGACAAGAAAGTGAACAAAATTGTTTTTATCAATAGGCCACAACACTCTTATGAGCAATGAAATCTCTTTTGAAAGATAATTTCTCAGAGACCTGTAGTCACAGAAGGAATTTCCCTTTCCTTAAGGAAAAAAGAACCTTCCTTATTAACTACTTTTGAGCTCTTTCCACTTTTCCCTAGAGTAAAAATTCCTGTTTAGACCTGAAGAGGGACTCTATACCCTGTACTTATTTAACCCAGGTTAAATGCCCTGGGTAGCACAAATTATCTTGGACTCAGAAGTAAATCTGAAGCCTACATGTTGGTTTACTACTAAATTCCAATAGTGCTATTCTAAAAGATATTACTGCTGATGCAAAGATCTTTTTCTTAAAGGAATTATGGAGAAAGACTGAAAGAGGATGGGGTGTAGGGAGAAGGAGAAGACTAGAAGGAGGGAATATTTAGGTACTTGGTTAAGAGGCAGAATTTGATTAAAAAGATCCCAGTATGGAAGGAGTGGCTGGGTATCCATATTTATCATTCCTAATTCTAACAACAACAAAAAAACCAATCTCAATTAGATCCAAATACTTAAAATATTAAGAAATCTGTTAACTATAGATTCCTTTGCTTTTTGCTTCCAAACTATGGATGATAATTTCTAGCAAAGGATATGACTGATCTATTCCTGCCTCTCATTTGGAACCCAGGATTCTTGGGACAGTAATGACAGTTGCCACATTCTTGGCAGCATTTCTTACCAGGGAACTCTAAGTCCAGACTGTTTGATTCCATGGACTTACATTAATATGTTTTTTTTTCCTTTTCTGGAATCATAATGTCATAAAGAGTAAAGATACACTTTCTTATTAAAAATTGATTTTAGGTTCAAATAATGAATATGTAGAAAACCATCTATATTCCTATATTATTTTGATATTCATTTATAAAAATTTATAGCAGCTGTAAAGTTTCAGTATCATAAGGACAATTTGATCCTACAAACAGCCAAAGGATGTACACAAGATGTTTTCTGTCTTCCAAATAACACAAACTGAAGAGAAACGTCTTTGCTTTTCCTTGACCACATAAAAATAATATTTCCACACTACTGGTTAGTAACCCCAAGAAACTTTTGCTTTTCTTAGTCAATCTGCTCATTATGGCTACAAGGCTATAGCTCACCATCAAAGGTCCAGAAGAGATGCTGGTAATACATCAATGTGAGCATTTCCCCAGATCCCATCACACATCAGTGCTTTCCTTATTGTCAAGAGCTATCACACCAGTCATTGTGCAAAATGCAAGTATTCCAATGATTATTTCAGTAAGTTTCTCGTAATGACACGATGAAACTGAAGAGAATGGAAGTGTGCATAGTGAAACATTTAAGATGCAAAGGCAAATTTGGAGGAGAGATGCAGAAATGAACAAACGTGCACACTTAGAGACTTTACTATCTTTGGGGTTTTTCTAACATATTTTGAAGCGGTAACATTCCAGGATATTTGTAACTACGAATCCAGTGGATGTCTTATATCATGCTTCTAATCAGGGCCTTCAAGATTAAGGCATTTACATTCACGCCTATTATTATCCACATTCTTCTAGATTACTTGAAGAGGGACAGGACTGATTAAGAGCAACCAGTCAGGAAGGCAGGTATACTGAGGTCCCAGGAGAGCATCTGGTGCGCTCTAATGTAGCAGCTGGAGTCTATAGACTTTTTCAGATACAGGTGATGGTTGTAAGAAGCAATGCTGCAAGAGAGGCAGGATTAAATTCTACAGTGTCCTTAAATCATTTCATCCCACTTCTGCTATTGCAGGTGATGTTGGAGATACTTATCTTCTTTTCACTGAATTTAATGACTTCTTCGATATGTGTATGGGTTTGTTAAAACCGTAGTTTTCCTGTGCAAGACGGAGGCTCAACTATTATAAGAATCTTTCACTTCTGAATAGGGACACATTTTCAACTTAATAATTTACCTTAAAATAAATTAAAAAATGTTCCATAGAGCAAAACTAGCACACAAACTATAGACAGTATCTTTTTGTCTTTGGTGCACACACTCATTTCCTAAATCATTCAAGTAACAGCATCTCTGACTTCTTGGGGAGAGATGGGAGTTGAAGGCCAAAATGAATTATTTCCACTTTTGCCATGCCTGGATGCCTGAGATGGTCCTGAGTATCTGTGATTCTGGGAGCAGCCGGTAGAGGTTCAGGACGAGTAAGAAAAGAGCAGGGGTGAAAAAGGGTAGAGGAAGAAGCCCTGCAGCAGTCCTTGAGCCCAGTCCTCAGAGGGGCATTTCTCTGTTTTCACACCCAGACAGAAAAACTCCACACAATGCAAAGGGTCACACAGTTCTTTAGGTGGTGCTCAGAAAGCAAGGCTATTTATTTCTACTGACTTGATAGCCTAACTTGGAGCTGCTCAACTGCAATAATGGAAGAAAATGATCTTCAAAAAAAAAAAACAAAACTGAAATAAACTTCAGAAAACAAAATAGGCAGACAATCTTAACTTGCCTATTTTAGAAGCAGTTAAGGGTTTAATACTGTTTAGAGACTGTGTCCATTTATGACTTTCATGGTATAGACTTTTCAAACATTTCAAACATTTAATGATGAATTTATTTATATATCCTTTTCCTGACTTCAGGTTCAAGGAAGTGATACCCTTGTCTAAGCTCAGAGGTAATTCTGGTGTTCCCTGCCCTCACCTGAGACCTAGCAGGGGTGCTAACAAGAGATGTCTCAACATCAGGAGTGTAACCCTGCCCACTGCAATCCAGTGGACAGTCTCCACAGGCAAAGGCTGAAATACCAGCTACCCTGCAGGGTCCCATGAGCTCCACACCAGCAGTCCATAGAACAGGTCCAGAAGCACTCTTGCTATGATGGAGATGGGGTGCGTATCAGGAGGCAGAAAGGTCCAGGACTCATGTTAGCACTCAGTGTTCCATTTATTTGCAAGATGTCACACAAGCAGCACTCTCCCCTGTTTCTCACCGATCTGATTCAGAACATCAATTGTGTCTTTGATCAGGGTCTCAAAGATCCCATCAGCCAGCTGCATTTTCACACACAACTCATCCTCATCATAGTTCACCCACTGTGCCTCTTCCTCGTGGAGCTCCTGAACCTAGAATTTACAAGACAACAAGGTTACACAATCCCTGTCACACAAAAGTTGGGAAATTAATATTTGCTGACTTTGTAGTTCCATCATGGGAATATGGCCCACAGAAAAAAGCTGGAGAAAAAAGGTTATTTATATATCAATGCCCCTTTTAAAATTGCAAACCATTTAGAAAACCTCAATTTCTGCATAAAATTAAAATAGATTTAAAACTACGTTCCATTGTGATGATATCCCAGTTTATTATAGATACCAAGCATTACAAGTATGCTGTCTATGTTAACATAAGGGAATATGTACAGCAACTTTAGAAGAACACAAAATATTAGCTATATGAATTTACAATTATAAAATATATATATCCAAAGACAATACTGGATATGATTCTGAAGTATTATAAATAAATGAAAGCCAGGCATGGTGGCAGGAGGATTTAAGTTTGAGGCCAGCCTGGGCCACATACATAGTGAGATCATGTCTCAAAAATTAAAAAAAAAAAAAATTCATTAGGATATTTTACAAATGTAAGTCCATTTATTTTAAAAATCACTGCTAATACAATTCTCTCATTTGTGTTTTAGGATGTTGGGATTCATTGGTAAATGAAAACTAATCAAGATTTATTGCTTATTTGTAATAAATTTTTGGTGACTTTATGATAAAAGAAATATGTTAAACTTCTTATATGTAATGATGCTGTGAGGGGGCTGGAGGCCAGGTAGTGAAAATAGATGATGAATCTTGATTTAGTTACAAATTCTTCAAAGTCAACTGCAGTGACAGGGGTCTCTAACCAGAAGTCTAACTTGGCAAAGAAGACAAGTGAGAAACTTTTAGCTTGTCCTGATCACAGTTCATCTAAAAAAGGCAGAGGGTGTGAAGTGGGGGAGAGAGTACTCTGGTACTCTTGTCCTGTTATGAGGGACAAGGACTCCTTGTGAAAGAGGCCCAATCATTTTGCAGTATGAGTGAGGGGAGAACAGCATTGTTTCACACATACCCTCGCTAGGATTGACACATATTTCAAGGTAGCTGCCACCTTCTTTTTTCTTCTTTTCCCTTCCCCCCTTTCTCTCCCCTGCTTCCTTCATCCTTTCCCCCTTCTTTTCCTTTTTTTGGGTGGTACTGAGGTCTGAACTCAGGACTTCGTACTTGCTAGGCAAAGGATATGTAAATATTCAGTCCTCTATTCCCTAAGTTATGTTCCATGGAACAGCTGCTATCATCAGAAAGGGTTCTATGGCCAACTAAGTTCAAGAGAACTCCTTTGTAGATTTACAACATACATACAGAAGCCCACCAGTAAAGAACCTTGTTTAACTCAGAGTTTCCTACATTTATTTACTTATAGGATCATGTGTGGATACATAAGGAACACATTAGCCTACCAACCTCCATCTTACAGTTCCTCTCTTCTCAAGCTGGTACTGAATGATAACTATGTTCTGGGAAAGCTAGTAGGTAGGTCTGGATAAAAGACCTGAGATCTTCAATGAATTTGTACATTCAAAGTTGCACAGCTTCCCTTTTATAACAAAGGGCTCTTAGCCTTTAATTTTAAATCTGTTCTTTCAAAAATTTCCTATCAAGCCAGGCACTGGTGGCTCACACCTGTAATCCTAGTGGCTCACACCTGTAATCCTAGCACTCGGGAGGTTCCAGATTGAATCAATCTGGGCAAACAGCTCATGAGAGCCCATCTCAACCAATAGCTGGCACATCTGAAGCTATGTGGGAGGCTGAGAGCAGGAGGACTGTGGTTCCAGGCCAGCCCAAGCAAAAAAGTTTGTAAGGACTCATCTTAAAGGGAAGAAAGCCCTCGTGGTGGCACACTTATCCCAGCAACTGTTAAGCATAAACAGGAGGATCTTGGTCTGGGCGAAAGCAAGACTTTATCTCCAAAATAACCAGAGCAAAAAGGGCTAGAGGCATGGCTGAAGCGGCAGAGCACCTGCCTGGCTAGCACGATGCCCTGAGCCCCAACCCCCAGCACCATCCCATTATTATTAGTAGTAGTATTTCTCAGGAAATGTTATCCTAAAGAAATCTTTTTCATACTTGCAGCAGAAATATATGCTTATGACATATGTTCTTTCAGTGTAACTTCAATGCAGCCCCAATTACAGGAGGAATAAAATAAAAAGAACAAGAATGTTCTTTCTCTGCCCACAAGAAACTACAATTATGCCTTACCTTTTGCTGTCAAGAAAGGCTCCAGCCTTGATACCTTCAACAATACAATTAAGGAAACTCAGTTTCACACTGTCTGCAAATCTGCCTCTAGAGGGAATGTCCAAGATGGCGGCTAGAGGTAGGAAGCAGAAAGCGACCCTCTCTATAGTGAAATCTTGGAGAGACGCTGGAGACACACTTTGCAGGCATAATCACCGAGAAAAGCATAACTTTGACTCCTCCACATCTCCAGCCGGCAGCAGAGAATCCCACTTCCACGTTAAACGGAGAACCGAGGAGGCCCCCGGGCCGCCAGTGGCCGGCGCCCATACGGCTTGGGAAGACGCGGACCAGGTGAGCTTCCGCGTACCGCGGTCCCCCACAGACAAGCCTGGGCCAGAGCGCAATAGCCCCCTGGACAGACTGACCTCCACCGGAAAAAAAGAGAAACTGAGTACTAAGCATAAGAACAGTTAAGACACCTGGAAGAGGGTGGGGCGCCCTGAGCGCTGAAGATTGGGGGAGGGAATCCTTCGGGACTGTAAATAAAACGACCGTGGCGGGCGGAGAGGCTCTGGCGGGAGCGGGGCGCCCCGCAACCAGGAGCGGGGACGCTTGTGAGAGGAGGGAAACCCACTTCCCACGTGAAACCGTAAATAAACACGCAGGCCCTGACAACGCGGGCAGTGTCGCCTTTCCCAGTGCTTGGAAAGGGAAGCCTGTAGCAGAGGCCCCCTCCCCCGAAACAGGAGAACTCTGAGCAAACCAAAGCCCTGTGGACCAGTGAGTGCTAAGCTCACCCCAGAGATCTGCATAATAACGCCGCCAGCTACAGGCTTGAGAGCAGCAGGCAGGCAGCCACAGTTGCAGATTACCACTCCCTCAGAACTGCTCCAGACGCTTTTTTTCTTTTTCTCCCTACCTTTGATGAGAGAACAACCGATTACACCTGCAAGCCGAAAAACTTACTGAAACTATTGCATTTGAACTGGGGACACTTGGTGGGCTTTTTTTTCTTCTGTGTGTGTGTGAGTGTAGTTTGTTCTACTTTATGCATCCCCTTTGATGAGACAACTACAGAACAAATCTGAGGCACCAATCCAGGACTGGAGATTGAGACGGACATCCAAATTATTAAGACTGAAATTGCATTGCATATAAACTTTGGAAGTTTTTTGGTTTTTTTGTTTTTTTTGTTTTTTTTAATTTTCTATTTTCCATTTTTATTTTAATTCATTTTTATAAATGATATACTTTCATATACTTATTTTTTATTTTTTTTATCTTTGATTTTCAATCCTCTCCTGTCACTCTATTGTCTGTTCAGGCTTCCTGTCGATTAGTACACTAACACTCCCTGTTTATACCTTTGAAACTCTCTTGTCTGATACCTTGTTCTGCTTTCTCCCTCTGTCCTGTATATTTGTTTCCCCTTTTCTTAACTTCTTGCTTTCCATCTCAGCTCACTCTTCATTCCATATTACCATTGTTATTATTACAAGCTAGAAAATACTTAATTACACACACAGTACAGGGACAGTAAACAACACCAAGGACAATGAACTGGAAGACAGAAAAAACAAGGAACCACAGTTTCCCCACAGAAAAAATTAGTACAGGAACCCGAGGGGAATGAAGCGA